CCCAAACGCCACATTGGTGGGCAGTGAGGTCAGGTAGGACATGTCGAATTAAGCGTACGTCCAACGACGAAGACCTTGGGTTTCTCTCTCCTTGGCTCTGAACATAAACACGGAGGAAGCCTGAATGAGATCGAACTCCAAGTCAAAACAACACGGAAGCAAGCAAGGCTTGTGGAAGACGGCCTTGACTACGACAATGCCTGTGCGACTGTCCCTGGTGCTGCCTTGTGATTCGGAATCCATGTCGCCGTCAGTCTTGAATCGACTACGTCATCAGTATCCAGAGCAATAAAAAGCGAGGCTAGATGACAATCTTCAGAGCAAGAATATGACGGCGTTCCTGGAAGGCAAGCTGGAAATTTTGCAGCCGAACCAGGGGTCTTTTCGGGGGGCCTTTGCGGCAATCTTCTGCTGAGCATTACCTCACGGCCAGACTCAGACACCACGGTGTTAAACTTAGACTAGATCGGCCCGATGTGACTTACCCAGTGCTCAGCTGCAGCTGCTCGTGCCCCATGCCTGCGGCCGGCATGGACCACTTTGTCTGACGTGATTCCGTGAGCTTGAAATGCCTTTTTGAAATAGTCGTAGTAGGTCTGATAGATGATTCATTGGCCTTCCTTCTCCCGCTTCTTCGTGGTGGCGCGTCTCGGTGCAACTGGCGTATCGTACCTGTAAAACGATAATAAGGATGGTTTCAGGGCTGCTCACGAGAGAATCATTTCGTGGATTTGCATCTCGAAAGCTCTATTTACCGATTGCTTTTGCAAGCAAACTCCGCCTTTACCCCAATTTATTTAGAGCTATTTGAGTTGCGCCTGCACGGTTCCTTGTTCCCGTTCATTTAATGGACGTCAGCTTAGTACGTACTTCGGTGTAACCAGTTGGAACCCGGTCAATTTCTGGTCACGTGACTGCCTGGTTTAGTTCCGGTTATGCTTATCCCGTTTGCTGGAAGATCGGGAGTCAATGTTACTGCGACTGCAAAATTTACTAGGTGATTGGGCGAGCTGAGCCCGGGCCTGTTTGCTGAATGAGGTAATTGTGAGTTTGATTGTTGGGGCAGCTCTAGAGCCAAACTCGATTGGAGCCGTCCGACTACCAGTCTGGTACGTATACAAGTAATCTGGCTGCAACTTCAAGGCCGCAACCAACCCCCATTAAACGCCAGTTTGGCCTAGGAAATCTTCTACTGTACTTGAATCATAGACGAACCGCGACTCACCAAGCTTTTCGACTGCTGAAATCAGGGCACGAGCTCTCAGCCCGGTCTTGCACATGGTACCTGTAGAAGCTCCGCATAGCCTCCGCCCCCACGCAGCACTTGATTACGCTGAATGCCGCATCACACCGATGAACTCAGCCCGTCCGTTCTGAAAGAAAGCAGTTGAACATTTCGAAGAGGTTTGGTGAGTTGCAATTCGTCTATGATTCTAAAAGTCACGTAAAAGGCGAGAGTACTTGGGGGATTCTAGTGCCGTCCGATTTGGAGTCCAGGGGAGCACCTTGTTCCTCCACATCAGAAGCTACTAAAGTACGCACCTGATTGGAATTCCCGTTGCGAGTGACAGTTGCAAACACGTCGGCATCGTTAGGTCCCACGAACTGCAGGTTGTACGAAAACTGATCCGGTAGCTGACGATTCGACGCGTCCCAGGTGCCCACGCCCAAAGCGGTGTTCAACCACAAGAAGTCCGTCCTGCGAGTACAAGTGCGCGGTGCTCATCTGGACGAAGCAGAACTTGCTAATTAGCTAATTTCCGAGAGCGATGCAGAAGAAAGGAGCACCACGGATAGACGGATAACGTCGATTCTGCCGGCTATCACAATACCTCTCGACACCTAGAGTGCAACTTGACGCACGATGCGCAAAAGCAACAAAATGACGCCGTTACTCTGGCGGAACTGGAACGGATTGACGCTTAAATATGGGCCCCAACCCGACTAGGAATCTCTCATTAAGGAGTGCGGTGCACGAAACCCCGTGAGGTGACGTCACCGCTCCGATCTGCCGCTTTCAAAGCCTCGTCAACGGCCCAAAAGTGTAGGAGCTCACCCGAGAAAAGACTGTTGGCGTCACTTGTTTAGGTTCGTAAACGGTGCTGGCATCGTGAAAGCCGGGATACGACTGTTTTGAACCCTTTCAAAAGAAGTCTGAACTGGTCAAGTCCGCTCTCACCTGCGAGTTTCTGGCGGTGCTCGTGCTCATGCGAAAAATACAAACGATTGCCGACTGATGCTGACGTCATTTTTCCGTTGAGGTGCAAGCTCTGGTCCAACGCATCGGAAAAAGCGGGTCTCGCCGCTCCTATTTA